TGGTACCCTGTCCGAAAATGCATAAAATACATAAACTAGCAATATAGTAGAATAGAGGCCAGAAGTCAGAACATAACCAGACTGGTGACACCAACAAATTGAGCAAATATGAAGAAACTAAGATTAGAACAGTTATAATTCAGGGGAATAAATTACTGTCTCTTTTCCATCCAAGGATAAATACTGTGCTTGAAAGGTACAGTGCATTCAAACACTGGCTACATCACTTAGACCCCAAAACATACACACAAATTGATAGGCCGCTTCAAAAAATAAGTCTGCTATTAATTTATAAGGGCTGATGAGGAAAGTATCATCTTTTCCAACCCCGTGCCTCTTGAATAGAAACAAACTTAGACAGCTACATGTTAGATACAGGGTATGTTTGTATACAAGAAATCTCAAAAAAATTCAACATTTTAACTCAACCACTTTTTTTAACTCAAATTTAACTCAACCCCACTATCATCAATATTTTCAATATAATCAAATAATATCAATCAATCATTCATACACACCACATCAACCTTAATTCACTACTCATCTACTCACATAATTTTAACTAACCATCACTTCAAATCATCTCTCTCCTACTCTTACATCAAATCAATTTTAATAATTTTATTTTATATATTATTATAATATATCCACTAACAACTAACCATATTACCTTTTTCAAATTAACCAAACCAAACCAAAAAATCCAACAAAACCAAAAATTTTCATTTCCAAACATGCTCTAAGAAGCTCCGTAACTCTTACAATTATTACAACTATCAAACATATATTATCGGACAGCCACAATATATAGACAGCATGTGAGAATTAATTGGGAGAAAATGGTGCTATTTAAATATAGTCCGGTTGATCTTTTAATTGCACTATCAAGACTGAACCACATCAATATAAATTAAAAAAAATTGCATATACAGTCACCCAGGCATAAATTTTCACAAGTCACAGAGCAGGCAGGTATAGCAAATCAATGAATAAACAATAACACCTACCACAAGTGCATCGATTCTGGCTTCAATAACTGTTGATGGAGCATATTTTGCAGCATACCCATACATAAGTGCCAAAGCGGCATGAACATCATCTGATTCTTCCATTTTGCCTCTATCAGAAAAGAATGACAAAATCCTGCAATGTTCGTTAAGTGTCAGATAAGAGCATTGATATATAGTAGCATATATTCATGCATAAGACAGCAGATATAACTAAAACATCCCAAGTCAAATTTCCCAAGAGATAAAAACTTAATGACAGACCTCTAGAAATGCATCATTGGCCAGGTTTGCTGGCAGCATAAATACAACAAATCTTACACATCAATGAATAAACCAGATAGTTGTCAGCCACTAACAGGAAGACTTATAACGGCATTTAATATGCGATTACGCAGGTGGTAATCAGACGTGCAGAATCTAATTCCATAATTTTTTATCAAGATGTAATGTACTTTGAGATTTTAACGGCTTGTTGTTGTATGTAATGTACTTTGAGAGCACACTAATGCATATAACACCAGTGCATACCTTTGAAAGATACCATCACCAACATTATCAAGAATGTCTTTTAGCTTCTCCAGAACTGTGTCCAAGTGGGACGCGGCAACCTAGGTGTCAATAAATCATCAACCCATATGATTAAGTGAATCAGCTCAAAAGAATCTCTTTATTATGTTTGGCTGAACTAAGCATGAATGAATTAAATGGAGAATGATTACCAATCCCATGGCCTTTGCCAAACCAAGCCTATTCACCGGCAAAGCAATGTTAGCTTGCATGTACATTAGATCAATCTTATCCCGAACATAGGTCCTGTCATGTACTTTCTGCAGCAAAATACCAAGACACCTGCATTAGAGTGAGTGATTCAGCTTGCAGCCACATTGTCCTATGATTTCTCAATGAACATGATTCAAATAATGAGAAAAGGCACGGATGTCAATAGCATATAAACGTCAGCATGAAGTTGCAAAAGAAGTGAAATAATTGTAAGCTAAAATAATTGAACTCAAATAGTTCCATCTGAAATTTGTTAATTATTATCTTCTTTGCCATCTCAAGTCTATAAAAGTGGCTTTTAACTGTAAAGTCTAGCTCCATCATAGCCAACCTGGCACGAAATAATGCCCAGAAAAAGGGGATAAACAAAGATTGTCTAGACCACAAAAAGTAGTTGTGATGAGACATAGGAATATAGCAAATAGTAAAGTCATGAAGGAACACATAATGAATGAAGTTTACAGTTTCTTTCAATGATAACATGGTATGGTGCTTCGATGATTGAGACCGGCGTGAATAGATACAAAGCTAAATTAACATGGTTGAGATGGGCGTGAATAGAAAAAATACAAAACTAAACTAAGCAAAACACAGACAAGGTTGTTGGTTTAAATCAAAGAGATCATACCTGTGAAGCAGTGCAGCATGCTCATCATCAGATGAATAAAGTTCATATTGTTTAGCAAAAGAATTTCCTAGAGAAATCACCCAATCAACATCCTGAATCACATCCAACGATTCTGCAACGAACTGTTGTCCACAAAGATTATATTAGTGACATGCACCAAGAAAGGTGATTCCTGCCCATCGTCAAACTTGAACCTATGAACTGAAAAAACCAACCCACCATCTACCCAATATTGTAGTCTTGCTTTCAATGAAATAAATAGCACAGGAACACAAAAGCGGCAATTAGATAAACTTAATCACTCTTGCCATAGAAATTACGGATGCCTGAATATTAAGAGTGTTAAGAGAAAAGAGCGTTATATCAGAAAAAAAGAGTTCACATTGACAAACTGTCTGACCCCGTACGTGTTAGTCTACTAAGGTTATGAAATAAATTATATCGGCAACTTACATTAATAACCATGTCATCCCATGTTTCTTGATAAAATGGATGTTGCTTTAGGTCTTCTGGATCACTCACATAGGCCTTCATTTTGGGAATCTAGAGCTTACAAAAGAATACAAACAGTTAGAACAGAATGTTAAAAATGTTCCACAGGGTTGCTAGTCATACTACTGTTCAGCTGCATAAAATATTCTTTCATATGAACAAAGTGTGATCACTTTCTTGAAACACTGTGTTTTAAGGTTTCGCAAAAATTGCACTGGGACTCTATGGAACAATCAATCAAGATTTTCAAAGCACAATTCTAAAAGAATGAGGCAATTTTGTAAATATGACTTCAAGTTCATGTTTAATGCTTCTAGACCCCCTCGTTATCACTTAATTTCACATAAAAAAATATTATTAACCAAATACTAAAAGACAATTACATGCAACATGGACAATAAACAGTAAAAAATTACCACATTGCAACTTGAAAAGCATGTTAATAAAATATTCAATCAATCAATCAACAAGCCGTTACAATCCCACTAAGTGGAGTCGGCTATAATGATCACATGTCGTCATCTCGATCAAAGTGCATACCTCATTCAAATTTAAATAATTTAAATCATTTTTTATCATCTCTGCCCAAGTTTTCTTGGTCTACCCCTCCCCCTTTTAATTTACGTTCTTAATTCTAATGTTTCTACCCTTCTCAGCACTGGTGCCTCGAAGTCTTTCCTACGACATGCCCAAACCATCTTAATCGAGATTCTCTCATTATTTTCTCCTCTATGGGCACTACCCCAACTTTATTTCTAATACTTTCATTTCTAATATTATCTAACCTAGTAAGTCCACACATCCATCTCAACATTCTCAACTCTGCCACTCGCGTTTTTTGATTATTTTCATATTTAGTAGCCCAACACTTGGATCCATAAAGCATCGTCGCTCGAATGGCCGTTCGATATAACTTGTCTTTCAAACTCACAGGTACTTTACGATCATAAAGTATCAACGACGCGCTTCTCCACTTGTTCCAATTCTTCAAGTTAACAAACAAGAATGTACTACATCATCAAGCTTCTATACCTCATCTTGCCAAAATAAGATGATCTTCCTGGGAAATATAGAGGCCAAGTGAAGCAGGACCTGAAAAATCAGCAAAATCTCTTTAATCAAAATCACATTTACATGTGTTGTCCACATGACATAGCAGATGCTGCCAAGTTCATTGCAGAATTAATGAGAAGAAGTTGAAACATTAAAATCCCTAATCACTATTATTCCCACTAAGAAGCAAATATCAAACTTGCATTTTTTATCAAAACATATTTAACCTCAACCTTTACTCAGTTACAACTATTAAGGCACTACCCAACTAGAGAGGAGATGTTCTGGCCTAGTGACAACATAATATACCTTCTAGAGAATTTCTTAATAGAGCAGCGCCTTAATCATGGTAATGGACTAATGGCTGAGGATAAACATGATGTATGTTTTGATAGAAAAATAAATATAAACATGGGCTACCCTAGTTATAACATAAAATATCTTCTAGAGAATTTTTTGACAGAAAACCTAAAAAGTTTTTCATTAGGACCCTGTCAACAGTACCAGTACAGACTAATGGTACAACTCATTAGCATACGGTACTCATATCTTCATAACTAGAAGAAGGATGCCAAATGATATTAAAAAAAAAATGCACTAAGTTTTTAAGGTCAAATTATACAGACTATGTAAACCTTGCGATAAGAACACTTACGGATAGAATTTGAGTCACTAGCTGCTCCCTTGCCAATGGATTGTGGAGAAGCACCACAAGACGTGCAAAAAGATCCTGAATTATATTTAATTCCAAAAAAATTAAAAACAAAAGGTGGCCAATACTTCTATAAGAAATGGAAGTTACATAAGTATAGAGATGTGGAGCTGAAACCTCAGGATTGGGAATATCAGCACGTGCTTTACAATCGGAAAGGATCATATCACTTTGAGTGTGTTTATTTCTGCATAATTCTGAGATGCATCTGCACACCTATATAAAAATATAAATATGTTGACAATAGAAATTCAATCTATATACTTAAGGTATAAATGACAAAGGAGGACCACACTCTAGCACCCAGATAAAATATCAGAGAAACATAAAATCAAACTGGATGAAAAGTATCTCACGCTATAAATGTACATAGAACACTTACTGTTGCTACTGCACCAGTGTAAACCCGTGGTATGATCATTTTCAACAAAAATGGCCAAAGCACATGCTGGGAACATTAATAAAAAAATAAAAATAAAAAAAATAAAGAGATACTAGGATAAAACTAGCAAACTAATTAGGAAAAGGGAAGAAACATGGGAGAGGACGGGATAGACAGGCTAATATCAGCATACCTCCATCTCAGGAATGGTGACAGTTATCAAAAGAAGACCTTTTTCACACACTTCACGTAAATCTGTTGGACATATACCTCCAATATTTACCTGCAAATGATCAAAAAGTTTTCATGCAAAAGAAGTATTTGTAAAATCCATACAAGGACAACCTGAAATTTACAAATTGAATACTAACGACGTAGTGAGAAAGAGCATTTCTACTCAAATTGATACAAAATAAATCAGCATCACACATTGTCCTTTATTTCTTTCTTCCTTTGCATTCAAAAGTAAGGCCAAAATTCTTCCTTACTTGCCCCTAACTTTATCGTGTGTACATTAAAAACAAGTCCTTCTGACACGAACCATGTTAATAGACTTAAACAGATGCAATCTCACAAAAAAATAACAAGTCTAATGGATAACATCTTCCAGATAAGTTTCACCAGAAAATTGCAATTATTTATCAGAAATAAGGCACATCCTACTTTTGTAAGTTTGTTGCAATAAGAGAGAGAGACTTCATTCTTAGTCTTATATAGGTATCACAGAATGTTCTTGTATTTCTCTTTCTCTTCTAGATAGTTTCATCCTGCATATCTATATATTAACATTTAATTCAGAGAACTCAACTAAGAAGATTATTCAGTAAGGTGCTAAAGTCGTTTGGGTCATTACTCATTAATGTGGTTTAATATTTTATCATTTCGAACAAAACTTAATGGCTACAGTTTGGAAGAAACTGCATTAGATGCCAGAAAAATAAAATGTTGGATATATTTACAAGGAAATAACTTTGACAGGTTCAGATATAGTAATCTAATGATTCAAAATATGAAAAATGCAAATCTCATCAAATGAACAACTAAATATTCATTCCGCGACATGTTATTAGTAGATTCTAACAAGCAAGAAAACAAATGAAATCAGAATGCTTCACGTACTGAGCAAAAATTAGACCTCTTGTTTCCTTTGCAGGAACGGATTGAAGGAGCCAGTCAACCGAACAAAATCATTTGAAGTCTCAATATCTGCCCTGTTCACATCTGTCATTGCACAGTGGCGTACCAAGTACTCCACAAATAACTCTCCTGGTGCACCAACCAAGTAACAGTGCGAAGCCATAACAACGATTAACTACGATAATGAAAAGTATAAAAATTAGGATACAATCAGTCATTTGAATATAGCAAAAATGAGTTCTTTGCCATTGGTACAATACCTCTGAAAGTGCCTTGCAGACAGCCAAATTACCCTCATCCAACAAGTTTTTTACCGCTTCAACTAGCAAAGGCCTTTTAGCATGCCAAACTTCAGACAACCTTCAAGGCCAGAAAGTTGGGGTTGATTTGGGGGAGTCCAAAAAATTAAAGAAAAGAAAAACAGAGACGAAGCTAACCTAGGTAAAAGATGCTTGAGAACAGAAAGGGCACCAAAAGTCAAAGGTTCTTCTTTCAACCGGCATTTCTGGGACATGCATATCAAGAGTAGCATAGATTAAACAGAAACCCATAATTTGTTCATTTTTCCTCCCTTTTTTTTTGGCTTGTTTGTTTTTCTTCCATTACTTGATTTCAGTTTTGAAGGGAAGAAAAGAGGGAATCATCAGTGCATCAGACATAGTTACATATCCAGTTAGTAATTCAAAATAATTTGTAAGACAATTTTACCCACATAGAGAAGGAACCCAAACATGTCTTCCGGATAGACTTGGGCCACCGTGAGAAAACAATGTTGAATCTCATTGTAGGTCTGCACATGCATAAGGTGCTAAACTGATTACCAAAGGAGGTAATAAGAAAAACTATCAATGAACAAGAATGAAGAGAAAATGAGAGAAACTAAACATGGAAATGCATAAATGAACTAATCAAATTAGCCGAGTTTTTCACGTTAAGCTATTATATAGATCTTTGAAAGAAGAATATCATTGCAGCATCTCAATGCACTAACTACGAAACCTATACAAAGATTCATCCATTTTATTATTTGACATCGATTGGTCAATCTTTAAAGTGCAAATGTCAACAAAGAGACTGTGATCGATTGTACTAATAAAGTGACGCCACAAAGGATGCTATTTACCCAAACAAATGTACTAATTAGAAAGTATTGGTCGAACAACACCACATGTATTCTACCTTCAGTCCAACTGAAAAACCTGAATGTTGTTTACTGTCATTACTGATGCAAACAACGGGAAGAAGAGTCGATAATATGACAGTAAGATCCTGCAAAATTACAACTTTAAAGTCATTACCTCTTAGAGGGAAAAAGTGGACAAGATCCAATAATAATAATGAAGAAAGAGTAAGTTATTAGATCCTAGTAATAGCCAAACTGACGCTTTTACACATGCACTTCTAACACATATTTGCCTTGGCAGCCTTCCATCATGTAATCCAACAGGTAATTTTATATCATGACAATGAGAAGTTAAATTAATACAAAAACCCTCAATTCCTTTTAATTTGGACTGATACCAATTACATTGTAGTGGCATTTTCACATTGACATAAAGTTAGAAATAATTCAAGAATAAAATTCATTGTTCCTTTTTGTTTGCATTAAGAAAAAATCACTTTCAGGTTTCCAACATATGAGCTTTTTAAGTTTTCATTGCATGATGCTTTGAATCTGGTCAAATATAATCTCTTCCCACTTATATCAAATGTCAAATCTTAGCTAGATATTGTCCATTATCCTCTGTGAGATTACGGAAAATATGAAAACCACAAAGGCCAAGAGAAACATTGTACATCATTTGATAAGAGAGATATGCTAAGGAATGAATGGAACTTTTACAGGAAATAGGAATGTAAAGTACTTTTTATAAGCACGACTAACTACAGATAACCTTCATATAAAATGGCGACCATATGTATCAGAAAATGAAGAAAGAGAAACCACAAGTTTCTACTATACTTTCTAAATAAAACAAATTGAAAAAAAAAAAAAAATAGTTCGGCCCCACGCAATGGAAAAATCACAGTTATATTCACTTACTTCAAAGTCAAGTAAAGGTGGACCACTTTCGGAAAGTAAGGAAGCATTCAAGAGATAGTGGAGACTGCATGTAGCCACAAAGGCAACATCGTGATCTTTCTTATACCTGCATCATTAAAAAAATATACAGATTACTTAAAACATATAGCTGAGCTCTCACAATCATTAAATAAATTGTACCTAAACATCATAAAATTATTGGCCAGCCTAGCCATGATTAAATTAGTCTAACTACAAAGCAACTTACCCACATATCATTGGAGCACTGTTGAGGAGAATTACTTTAAGGGGGCGATTGGATATAAATGAAAACCAGTTTTGATTGGATTTTGATTTAAATTGAGTTAAATTTAAATAAAGTTGATTGAGTGGAGGATTGAGCGGTATTTTGAATTTGTATTTATATAATAATTATAATATAGTGATTAAAGTTTATGTGATGTAAAAGTAGAAGAGATGTTATTGGAAATGATAGGTAATTAAAAATATGTTAGTAGATGAATAGTGAATTAAAGTTGATGTGATGTGTAAGGATGATTTATTGATATTATTTAATTATATTGATATTATTGAGGAATAGTGAATTGGATTTTGAGTTAACAAGTAAAACGATTATCCAATTAGTCAAAACCAGTTTTAATATGCTGCCAATCGCCCCTAACAAATCAAGCTAACTCTTACAATTCCAATATAGTGGGCACAAGCCTTGGTAAAGCTGATTTCAGTTGGGTCCTGGTAACAAGGCCAACCATCTGGCCTAATGCCTCAATAGTCGATATGCGGACCTGCAGAAATGAAAAAATAAAATACCACCTTAGAATTTCATGGTGCAACATGTCAGGTTAAGGACAAGAAGTATATGCCAAAGACACAATGGTTTGGCCAAGCAAAATTAGGACACAAGACCATAAGTCAAATATACATTCAAAGAAACGTAATGCAGTAATTGATTAACAATATAGGGATGTTTTTTACCCCAAAAAATTGTTGAGATGAACGAATCCTCATCTAAAAGGACCAAGTTAAGGGCCATATGAGCTAACAGCTGGCCAAAATATTTCCAGGTGAAACACTTTAGAAGGAGGCATACTAGCCTTATACATGGTTAAAGCACTTATATCTAAAGCAGTATCTCACTTGTATATCCATAATTGAAGATAGAAAACATTATCATCAGTATATGTCGAGAAGAAATATCAAAAGCATCTTGAATTAAGCTAACTGCAACTTCATTCATACAACAATAAGATATAAGTCGTGATGTAAAGAATTCTTTTGATTCATAATGCAGCTAACAAAAGGAAAAAAATTCAATTTTGGTCCGTTTACTCGTCTAAAGTCCTTTTTTGGTACACTAACTTTAACTTCATCAATTATAGTATGTTATGTTGCAATTTGTATCATTTAGGGACATTACTCATCAAAAACAGTACGTTATGTTGCAAATTGCAATAATAACGTACTATTATTGATGAGGGGAACATTAGTGTACCAAAAAAGGACTTTAGACAAATAAACAGACCAAGATTGAATTTTCACTGCTAACAAAACATAGTAAACACTGTGATCCTATTATGGTATTAGAGGGGAATAAACTACACTACCACAAGAAATCACGTGCATTATGTAAAATATGGGATGGCAACCTTGAGATCCCGTGAAGTTGCCCAAACTCTCAATAGTAGCTCAAATGCAGAGTTGAGGAAGGACCTGGACCAAATAGTTTATTAGTATCCAAAGCATAATCTTAGAAAAGTCTTGCAGAATTACACAAATTAAAATAATTTGTCTTACACAACATCACCATCTACAGCTGTAAACAGTGGCGACTCCACATTATATTGCCAACAGGCCTGACACCAAGATTTGAATGCTGGAAAAGGACAAAAGGCATCTCATGAAGTATAAAAAAGAAAATTCTGCATAGCATGATTACATTTGTTGCAATGGAATATTACATTTGATTTATGACTATCAAAGACCAAGCATAATCAATGCCAAATGGAACAAACAAACTAAAACAGATTTAGACGTAAAACATAAAGAACCATCATTATTTGCTTCTCAATAAAAAGATCAAATATTAGGTCCTTGCATCACTCAGATCTGCACATTATTCATCACGTCAAACATGACTCAATATGGAAATTTAGTCCTAACCAAATGCAACTACACCCCTATCAATTTTATACCACATAAAAGTTCCACACAGAGTAATACAATCATACAGCCATAAAATCCTCTCTACTTACACAAATCATCTAAGATACAAAGTGGATCGTGGTTGTAACAGATGAGCAACCTTATAGTTGGTTCCATCGCAATAATGCATAAACTAGAACAACAGCACAAACCCCATTAGCTACAAATATGCACAGACGCAAACCAAAGATAGCATACCATTAGCGAAAATTGGCTTGTGAATATCTTTTACGTTTCCAAGAATGGGCAGAACTCTTGTAAGTACACCTTTGAGTCGTGGAGTGAACTGAAAAGCTTCAAAAAGCACATAAGATTGCATCAATAAACCAATTTCACAAACAGAAATTAGATATCAAAGACAGGCTATTTTAGTCTATGTTTAAAAACCAAAAATGACACACACCATCGGATGAAGCAAAATCTGCGAGTATTTGAACCATGGCAGGAAGAGCTGAATTAGATCCAGAGAGATGAAGAAATATTTCTTCCATCATCTGAAATAAAAACAGTAAAGTTGATTGATGATAGTACATACAGTGTGAAGCACAATAGCAAAGCCAGAAAAGAAAAGAAGTTATGTTGTGATCTCACTCCACAATAGTCAGTATTACATTATGAAGATCTTTCTACTGGTAGAAAGATGCTGAACTATGAGAACGCATATCAAAATTACAGAAAACTCTATGTGGTTTCCTCGAATAAGGAACAGAATATATGATTCAGCTTGCAATCTCAACTGCCAAAACTCACGATTAAGGTTATTTATTGATCACTCTTTATTCCTCAATCAATCAGGTGAAGATAGCAAAACACATAGGTTCATGGTACTGAGCTGAAATATGACAGTTGCAGTCAAATATTATACAGAACAATATAAACAAACTGCATATTGGCAACACCAAATTGTCTGGTGTAAACATACAACTTACAAGATCAGGCAGATGTAAACCTAATGCAACTAGTACACCAGATGCAGCTCTTTGCCAATCAGCATTAAGTTCCTACAACAACTCAAAGACACAAAGTTAAAATAATAGTATCAAGTTCCCAGCAAGTCAAAAACATCAAGTTATATATATATATATATATATATAAGACGAAGGGGGAGGGGGGGGGATGAGGAGGAGGGCTATTGAATTCCTAAAACAAGTCAAACGTGCACAGGGAAAACTCGGGTTATATAATGGATTAATTTTAAGAAGCAGATGCTGAATCCTAATCAATGAAACTCTTCCGTGGACAATAAAGTAAGTGGATGCTCAAATCAGTAATTGTGTCATCAATAAGATTCTTACTCCAGCAAGTTAGTAACTTATGAGCTGCTAATCGAACTGTGTTTATGGTTGCCATATAATAACCACCACATTTCATGCTAATTAAAAGAAATATATGTGTTACAACGAAAAGATTAACATAACATGTTGAAGTAGCTCATGTGTAATCATGTATGATGCACCATATCATGGTCCCCTGTTATTACCTGGGCATAAGATCCGCTTTCATATTATGTTGACTAAAGTTGAACGAGGTATTATAACAAGAAGCACGAAGTCCTTCACTTGGTCCATATAATCTCAATCTTTTTACGATTTTGTTTAACCATTTTCTAGGACCAAAACTTGAAAAAAAAGGTATATACAGCTCTCATGAGAAGTCAATCTTACGAGAATTTACTGCCCCATAAGTATGTCGATAAAGAATTTCTCACTCAACTGCCACTTCGGAATTTATTTACTAGGAATTCTGATTCCTCTCAACTTAAGTGAAATTAAATGCTGCAAAACAACTTTTTTTACAGAAATCATAAAACCCAAAGTTACAGCATTTGAGTATCTATATATTAAGGATACAAGATTATAAGAGAAAAAGTCTTCAGTATTCAAGTCCATGAGAAAGGCATCCTAGGGAGAGCAGATCTTAACATGCGTTTTCTAATATGCTCAGGGATAAACATAAAAGATCTCCAATAACATAGTCGTAGCTGCCAAACTGAAACGTGCTAGATAACTATAAAAGCATTTGAATAGGGAAAACTATCTCTCCTTGGCAGCCCAAAACTGGACCATCGTCACCACCAGTAAGCATTAACAGAAAGAGTCTTATGTTCACATATATCAAGAACTACACCGAGCAAAACTACTAGCGAGGCTTCACATAAACAACATTTGCATGACTATCCAGATAAGATCAATTAAACTTAAAATCATAATTCAAGTATGTTTGACCACATTTCTGAAATATCAGTATAGAAATGGAAAACGCAAGAGAGCATATTAAGATATTACTTAAGGGGCTTTCATGACTCATCGGTCATATATTGAGCGTTGGTTGTATTACATATATTGACCCCAACCTGTTTGGGAATATACTGGGTATGTTGATGATGTTGATGATATTACAAGTGCATACTTCCAGTGTTACAAAAAGTGGGGAGAGAAACACTGCACCTTAGTGGAGATTATCTCAGCCACTGCTATTTTAGCAAGCTTTGCCATGTATTGAGGATCAACGTCATCTTTATCCAATGCTCGAATTGCCATAGACATAACTTGAAATAATCCAGCTATGTTCCCAAATTTCTGGGATTCCAATTTCATAAAACATCAAACCATTCATCAATCTATCTTATCAACACTTGTCAATAAATCATAAGCTTGAACACTAGTGAGAAACGTAGCATTACTCTTCGGCCGCCACGGGAGACAGTGGAGCAGCAATCGAGAACCAAAAGAGGGTTCCTGCAAAAATCTAAAGGATTCAAGACTACTCCTATGATTTCAGAAGCATGATACGTTTCAAGTAACATCTAATTAGAGAGTTTCCAAAAGCATTCAATAATTCATTTACTTTACATTTATACTCAAATTACCCAAGCAACAAGCACCACCCGCAAATTACACCAAACATATGAAATACCCCAAATTCAATTGTTTCTTAACCTTCAAATCACCAAAATATTCACATTCACTGAAACACAGTAGACAAGGAGAATAAAATTACAGAGCCGCTATGTCTTTAAGAGTAACAGCCGAAGCTTCTCTGACCACGGGAGACTCATCCGCAAGAGAAGACACAAGAACTTGCACGGCCTCTGGAGAAATTCAAGTAAACCACAAGCAAATAAGCCATGATTAGACTCAAACGTTGATCAATGAAATTTGCATATGGCAATTGCAAGTATGCATGGACATAGAATTTGTAGCTCGAGAAATTAGCTGAGCTGGGTGACAGGGTTTACCAGGCGCAGGTATGGAATTGCCGGAGCTTGAAGACGCCATCAATGGCGATCGATTGGAAGATGACACAGAGATCCCAGATACAGGAAGAAAGGAAACATAAAATAAAGGCCGAACAATCGAT